CCTGCCTGCTAAAATCTTTCATTTCCTTTGCTGTCCACATGAAAAAGGGTTGAGAAACTCCATCTCCACCTAGAGCAGTGACTGAAGTCATGTTATGGAAACTGTAGGAAGGCAACTGATGCTCTTGTCTTATACTGTTACTGCCTTCGCAGAAGCTATGGGAAGGTAGTAATGGTATAAGAAATTTTCGTGTCGCTACTCCGTAGGCTCTGGGAGCTGAACAGAAATGGGTGAGGGCTGCGATTTCATCATCTGTAGGCTTTTCAATTCTGCTCCTTCCTTGTTTGACTCCAAATCCTATTATCACTGTGGTCACCCTAGTCCCCATCTCTGCTGGAGTCTCCATACGGTGAGCTCCAGGTGAGCCCAGGAACACCCTGGGATCAGGAGAAAGGGCAGTACTGAGGCTCACGTCACTTCTTGTGGGCCCATACTCCTGCTCACCAGCAGCTGTGGCTTCACTGTGAATCCTGCCTGCCTTTGAGGAGTTGCCATGTGAGCAAAGGAGTTGGCCCGTGGTTAGCCTGGCCCTGCTAATGGCAGACAGCGTAGATGAGACAAAACATTTCTGCAGCTCCTTCAGTCTGTGACAATCCTTTGAATTGTATTTAATTAAAGAGTGTACACAATGGCTTTCTTTGCAGTAGCAGACTGTGCGGTAATCCTCTAACAACTGTTGGGATCCAGCGGGAAGGAAAACTCTCATTAATAAAGACTTTGGGGATAATTCCACATGAGAGTTGCTGCAGAATTCAGAGCTGCAGGAAATCACATCCAGAAAAAACATTCCCTTCATCTTTCTGCTCAGGGCTTCAGAGTGTGTGCAGGAAAAATGACCCCTGACAAACCCACCACAATTTTCACATGGTATCTTGGGCATGCCAGGAGGGCTTAGCGAAGGAGGGTTTACGGAGTTTCAGCTTCACCCACAACGGATTTGCCCAGGAAACTGGATTACTGTTCACTAGCTGATGTTAATGTGAGCTAACCAAAGCTGGTCATGCTTTTCCTTTATCTACACTTTTTGGATGGGAAGTGTGAATTAGTGTAGCCCTCAGCCCCATGTCTGCGTGGCCAGTTGCCCACTGTAGTGAAAGATGCCAAAGCCCAAAATCTCTGCCTTTTCCACAGGAAAAAACAAACAAAGGAAACAAAACAGCACAGCAAAAAAACAGAGCTGGGGAATAAGTAAAGTGAGTTTGTACCAAGCTGTCTATAAAGTCTACTTCAAGCTTTTCTAGGAAGAATACACCAAGGAGGGAGAGTTATTTAGCCTCGCATCCTAGGGAAGATCCCCCTTGGCAGGCAAAACTCGCAGCTCTTGAAAGGTCTTTTCAGCCATAAGCATTTTGTCAACTGGGAGATGAATTAAGGCAGCTGAACTTGTTGCCCTGCTCACCATCATGCCAGCTGAACTGATGACCTACCAACAAAAAAAGACACACTTGTCTGTTTCCTAATGATGCCCAAAACTGTGATTTTTTTAATTTTTTTTTTTTTT